GAGAAGTGCAAATTTCATCAACCTTCAGTCACCTTTTTGGGGTTTGTGCTCGAGGGCGGCCAGGTTAAACCATCTGAGGACAAGATCAAGGCAGTTTTAGACTGGCCTGTTCCTGAAAACCGCAAACAACTCCAAAGGTTTTTGGGTTTTGCTAACTTCTATCGTCGTTTTATCAGAAACTACAGCCAGACCGCCCTTCCTTTAACTTCTTTGACATCTATCAAACGCAGCTTTCAGTGGACTCCCGAGGCTCAAGCAGCATTTGATAAATTGAAGTCATTGTTTTCCAGAGCTCCAGTCCTCATGCAACCTGATCCTTCCAAACAATTTATCCTAGAGGTGGATGCTTCAGATTCCGGTGTTGGAGCAGTACTTTCCCAGAGACTAGATTCAGATCAGAAAATACACCCCTGTGCTTTCTTCTCCCGTAGGCTTTCCAGCGCCGAGCAAAATTATGATGTGGGTGATCGAGAACTCCTGGCCATTAAACTGGCACTGGAGGAATGGAGGCATTGGCTGGAGGGAGCTGAGCACCCGGTTCTTGTATGGACAGACCACAAGAACCTAGCTCACATCCAGTCTACAAAGCAAGCTAACCCTCGCCAGTCCAGGTGGTCAATCTTCTTTTCTCGGTTTAACTTAATCATCTCCTACAGACCCGGATCCAAGAACGTGAAGCCCGATTCTCTCTCTCGCCTCTACTCCGTCGATCGTCCCGAGACACCTGAACCAATCCTTCCGGCTTCATGCACAGTTGGAGTGGTCAACTGGGAGATAACTGACCTCATTAACTCAGCCCTGGCCACTGAACCCGATCCAGGTAACGGCCCGTCTAATGGATCTTATGTTCCATCATCTGTCAGGTCCCGTCTCATCCAGTGGATGCACGCCGCCAAATTCTCCGCTCATCCTGGAGTCAGCCAGTAGCCCTCATCTCCAGACGCTTCTGGTGGCCCACTCTCCACAGGGACGTGAGGGAGTATGTGTTGGCTTGCCCCACATGTGCCCTCTTTGCCCACCGTCCGACTCCCCACCACCCGCCCTGGAGGTCGATGGACATCCGGCCTTCACGGTGCGCCGCATTGTAGACTCCCGTCGACGAGGTCGCGGATGGCAGTACCTCGTCGACTGGGAGGGCTACGGACCGGAGGATCGCCAGTGGGTTCCAGGCTCGTACATCCTCGATCCAGCCCTCATCGAGGAGTACGAGCGTTCCTGCCCATCAACCTCTTCTGGACCGCCAAGGGGCGGTCGTTGAGGGGGGGGTACTGTTGGGAGCTGGAGAAATTCCACCTTTCTCCAGCAGAGTCCGCCGTGGATCCTCTGAGGGAGCCTCCTGCACAGCTGCAGCTCATTAAGATCATCAGAGGATCCACTACTTAAGCTGTCTTCAGACCTTGCCTCAACGCCGCAGTGTTGTTCCAGTTGGTCAGCGCTTAAGCCTAGATCCTCAGAGTAATTCTTTGACTTTTGAATCCAGCTTGGATTCTAACCCCTGTGTCTGTTTTCCAGGAAACCTGTGCCTCCTCTGTGAAAGCTCTGGAACAGCTAACCTGCCGAGCCGACCCTCTGAGCCAAACCTGAAGATTCACAGAGAACCTCCAAGTAGCTCTGGGCTAGAGCTGGGAATCCCAAAGCTAAGGTCTGTTCAAGTTAGACGTGAGACGCTGAAGCAGCTAACGGACTCTGCTGATGAACTCTTCTCCAGAACCAACAGTGACTCTCCCAAAGCAAACCTCAAGAACCCTCAAGGTACAATCAGTAAACATCTGGAAATCAAACCTCTGTTGGCTACGCTAACTGAACTGTCTCTCACGCAGACTCCAGTGAACCTGAACCTAGGCCCCGAACCAGAACCCGTACAATCTGTGTGCTTGTACTACAATAAAACTGTTAAACTTTTATCCTTGTGTCCGTCAGTGGTGTTCTGCATTCTTGGGTCGCTTCCAGTTAACCCATCATGACAAATAGCATGGCATGACCTGCTGAAAGGATAGCAAAGAGTCACTGCACAGTTGTCTTATTATACAGTGTGTCCTCGGTAGAATTCACTGGTCAAGAAGATGCCACAGGATGCCATATATATGTCTGTATGGAAACAGGTAAAATACATGAAAGGTCTATGCCAATCTTTATTGTCCATTAATAACTACAAATTGACTACGAATAGCTTAGCTAGGCTAGACAAGTAACAAATATACATTTTCTCAATGCATTTTTAAATTTGTTTATTGTTACCATCGCTGAAAAATAGGCGTAAAAAGTGTAGTAAAAAACATTCATAAAGTAATTTTCTAATTTTATAAATTCTTGAAAATGTGTTAAAAATTCTCACAACTTAGTTGCTATATTTGTTATAAAAATAATATTATATACATAGCTGAATTTGTGTTGTGCTGACATTTGTGTGACTTTTTCCCACAGTGGAAGCAGCAAGACTCTGTTAATTGTGTATTTTTTGTTTGCTCAGTCATTTGCTTACTTCTTGACTATTTGCCCGTCAGTGATGGCATATATATTTCACCTCTTCAGGCAGCTGACTGCTGACTCTTAGTCATTGCAGGACTCTTTGCTTGCACCATGCTACCCAAATGCTAAAAGAAATGTCACGCTTAGGTTAGATATTTTCATCCTATACTTAATAATTATTCTCTTGCTCTCAGAGATGAGAAAATACCAAAAGAAGCTAAAGGTACATAAACTGTTAAATGTTTTCAACAAGAGCCACTTCATTGAAACCAATTACTGTTTCTTTAGTAACTCATAAGTATTTGTGTGTGCCCCACTCCCACAGACTGCCACTCTGGGTCTCTGAGCAAGATCCTGAACCCCAAACTGCCCCCCGGGTTCCCCATGATGGCAGCCCACACCTTCCCAAGGGATGGGTTAAATGCAGAGTAAATTTCTCCAATGCAAGATCAATAAAGTTAAATTATTATTATTATCAACATACTGAATACCCTCACCAAACTTGTTTTTCTTTTTTTAAGGAATTAAAGGCTATTTTGAATGGCAGCCACACTGCAGCAGATTGGTGTCAAAAATGTACTTTTGAGGGTACAGCAGAGTTACATTTTTTCAGTACTTAATATAGACAACATATAACAAACAGAGCCACGCAGAATTGGGAGGGAGATTAGGATGGGAACTCTCAAGCTGAATTTTTTACTTTTGTTTTTGAAAAGTGTTACGGCCCCTGCCTTTTTAGGACATTTCAGGCTTGTTTTCTTGTGCAGGTTCAGCTCTGATTAAAATATTCCTTGTTGGCTGCCTGAAGGCTGCAGAGGAGCAGTGACATCATTGGACCAGCAGAAGATTGTCAAGCCAATCAGATATGGATTAGAGCCACCTGCACCACATAAAAGGCTCCTGGAAAGCTTTCAGTTTGGGGGAGAGCTAGGAACACATTTGATTATGTTCCCCCACCTTTGGTGTTTACAACTGGTTTGGGCAGTTTGAACTCTTTGTTCTCGTTTGTTCAGTATATTGTTGAATCTGTTTTTGGTGGACTGTTAAAGCTAGAAGCTTGTGTTTGGGAGGTTTGGTGCTCCCTTTGTCTTGTGTTTTTGCGTTCTATTGAGTTAAACTTGGACTGACTTGTTTTGACATTTTGTAACTTAATTTTCACTTAACCATTTTTGAATTTGTTCCCCCTTTTGTTTTAATTGGGTTAAGTTATATTGTGTTTTGGTTCTGTGAAACCATCTTTTGTAATAAATAATTTTACATTCCACTTATTTTCTCTGGACATATTTTTATAGAACAATAGAACACCTCAACAGTGAGCTACGTTTGAAATTTTCACTGTATTCTGTTGCTCTTCTTTTTTAAATTGGGTTATAGAACATTTCATCATTTAATCTTATATGGTATTTAAGCATTTATAGAGATTTTAAAATGAAAATGTCTAAAACAAAATTAAAATTTAAAGAAATAATAAAGATATGTATATAATATATGAAGTATAGACTCTTGCAATTCATAGGTCAGTATTGGTAGCAATTCCTGTGACTCAGTGCCCCTGAATTAGCCCTCAGCTGTAAAAAGGTTGGTGACCGCTGCCCTAGACCCTGCCGGCATAACAAAAAAAAATGACTACAACACTTTGTCATTATTGATGTGCAAAATCTCAAGGTTTTTGCAAGATTTGAGGAACAATAACTCTTTTTGGCAGCTTTTTCAATAATAATGTTATCACAGCCAATGTAACTGCAAACACTTTCTGTCTACCATGGCATTTGGCATCCTGTGGCATCTCATGGATAGGGAATTCTACTGAGGAACGGTGTATTTTAAAGTGATTTTTTTTGGTAACAAATCACGGTAAGCTCTCACACTATAAACAAACAACTGTTTGAGCAGTAAGTCTTTGGCATCATTTCAGCACGTCATATACATACTACTACACTATCAGGACATTTAGTTTACATGTGAAATATACAGTCACTTTATATTTAATTCAAAAAAAACAATGAAATCAAATGAAAGTACTAATTTACAGTCCATAGCTCAAACTATCCTGACAAAATCATTGTTTCCACAAAAAACAGCAGTAGCTGCTGTGGGATGTTGAAGGCCTTGACAGCAGGTCTGGTATCTTGGTAGCATCCTGGCATTATCGTGGCATCTTCGTGGCAAACAATGGCAACTGACTTCATAAGTGTGCCAGCCTATTTTCATGTGATATTTTTTTTGTTTTCTTTATTTATCTCACCACATTAGATTTTCTTATGAATCAAACCACTCACACAAACAGTTATAACTTTTTTATTGAATTATTTAAAAATGTTTACTAAATTATGTGAATTTGACACATCATTGATTGGAAGTAAGTATAATAATTAAATAACCCCGAAATCAAACCGTTTCACCATAAACAGCAGTTAAATAGTGCGGCAGGTGATCCGCCGGCTTAGTGACACCTTGTGGCAGCTCCATGCCACTGCAGCTGTCCCAAGGTAAACAAGTCTGCAGGGAATGACTAGTGGTGACATTGATAGTTTTCTCCAAGGCAGTTTCGTATTTCTAAAGACAGCAGACACCCGTTGTTGGAATCAGTTGACTTAGAGTTTAACAGAAGATGACATGAAACATGGAAAAGTGTTTTCACTTTTTAAAACCTCCCCTGATCTATAAGCTCCACCTATTCAGTTCCAGTTTTAAGGAAATAGAGCACACTATAGAGCCGCGTTCACAAATTCTGTTCTTTACAGTCTGACACAGAAACAAAGACCCGCAGTGAACTTTAAACCTATCTGTTTTTAAACAGCCTCTGTTCTCACTGGTAAGTTTTCTGCTCATCTGGGTCTACATTTATTTATTCTGCTCTGACGCTCGTTTTTAGATTAATTCATTTTAAAAGAAGCAATAGATTTTTTATCACATTTGGAGCCGAGCTGTATAGTTAAGATTTTCGTACATTATGTACTTTTGCTTAGTTTTAGCGCCGTCATTTCCCAGAAATGTAAGTCCTTCATCATTACAAACTTTCCACGTCTCTTCCTCCTTTCTTTCAGGTATGATGATGAACCGCTGTGGTCTGCTCACTGAGAGGAAGGAACCAAGTATGCATCTACCTGTATTTAAGCTTGATTGTTTAGTTTCTTCTCAGTATCGATTTATGGATTATTTTTAAAACAAGTGCATGTTTTGTGTGTCTTTAATGTATTTTAGCACAGAGAGGTTGTTTGAAAGTTTGATGAGATATTATTAAACTTTGTGTGGTTTGAACATGACCATGGTTTTGCTGCTCTAGTTCCTTTGAAGAGCATTGAAGTGCAGCTGGAGGTGAAAGACCATGTGGCTACAGTGGTTTCTACTCTGAACTATGAGAACAAGGAGGATAAACCAATAGAGGCTGTGTTTGTCTTCCCTCTGCCTGGAGATGCTGCTGTGTGTCATTTCAGTGCTCAGATTGGTAAGACAGAGATTGTAGCCGAGGTTAAGGAGAAACAGGAGGTGAGTTGAATGTAAAGATGCATCTATGAGGGAGATAAGACAAAAACCTAAACATGTCTGAAATGTTTTATGTGGACTGCAGGCTAAGGAGGAGTATGATGATGCTCTGAGCTCCGGGCAGCAGGCCTTCCTGTTGGAGGAGAGTGAGCACAGTCCAGATGTCTTCTCTCTGAAGGTGGGCAGTCTGCCTCCAGGAGAGAGCGCCTCCATCAGGCTGGAATATGTCACTGAGTTGGCTGTGCAGGCTGATGATGGGCTGAGGTTCTGTCTGCCTGCTGTACTCAACCCTCGATACCAGCCACAGGGTAGCTATGCCAATATAGACTGATGATTTTAAACTAAAAACCAGATGACTCACAATTTTTTCTCATGATGTTTCCAGGTAGTGAAAGTTCCAGTGTCCAGGTGACCTCAGTTCCAGCCTCTCTGGTTCCCTACAGTCTGTCCTTTTCTGTCCAAGTGTCCTCTCCTCATGCAATCTCTAAAGTAGAGTCCAGTTGTTCCCTGGAGCCTCTTCAGTACCTTAACACTGATCAAACTCAGGCCACGGTGTGTAGAGATCTAATGTTACTGCTGGATGTGCTTGTTCCAAACAAGATGAAATGTTTATTTTTATTATTTGTGTTCTTGAACTGCAGGTCAAGTTGGCTGCAGGACACAAGTTTCACAGAGACATTGAACTGCTGATTTATTACAAAGATGCCCACCAGCCCACTGCTGTGGTGGAGGCAGGACAGGCTTCTGCCAAACCTGGTGAGAACACATTAGTTCATGTTCTATTTAAATATTAGAATATATCCGAAGCTCTATTCTTATTCCTTTTATTCAATCTTCAAAATGTTCAGGCTCTCTGATGGGGGATCCAGTGGTGATGGTGAGCTTGTACCCTGAGTTCCCCCAATCTGTGATGTCCTCACTTCCCTCTTGCGGAGAGTTTGTGCTCCTGATGGATCGATCAGGAAGTATGGGCTGTCCCCTGAATAACAGCATGAAGCAGGAAACCCGCATCAGCAGTGCCAGGGTATTTAACCACATGTTAAATAGATGGTTGATTGTTTTAAAGGTTTTAATTGATTAAATTTGAATATCTTTGGATTAGATAACTCTACTTTGATCAACCCAAATCACTTCGCTACTAAAAGAGAATTAAAGCAGGATGAACGCAGAATCTAGGCCTGTTAATATAACTCAATAGATTACCCAATAGTATAATCTTACCATACACTAGTGGTTCCCAATGAGGGGGGGTGCAGAGAAATTTCAGATGGAGCTGTACAAAGTCAATAAAATTGTATGAGCCCTTAAAAAGTTATTTTTTAAAGCTTTAATGAGCAATAATTACAGGGAAATACTGACAACAATGTAATTTATTAAACTCAAGGATGTTTTTTATTATCTTCTACAAACTTAAATTCTCAATCTTTATGTTTGCGTTACCTTATATATTGCTATTTGTAATTATATAGGAGCTGGTCTTTCATTAATGGAGGCAGAAATCTTTGTGCTACGGCAGCGCAGAGCTGACAAACTACTGACTGTAGAGATCGTCATTACGTTTGAATGTGACTGGGGCAAGTAGAGAGTCACAACAACAGTAACTATTCTACATTTAGCAGTCAGAGCTGTAAATAAAGCACACTGAATTAGGATTATTTATATCACAGACAACATAGGTATACACTAGGGCTGCAACTAACGATTATTTTAAAAATCGATGAATCGGCCGATTATTTTTTCGATTAATCGATGAATCGGACAAAAAATATTTTTTATACTAACCTCTTTCTTCCAAAATAAACATTTTAGACAGAACAAACAATCACACAAGTACAGGTTGCTCATTAACTGTACTGGTGCAATATGAAAAATAAATGTTTGTGTTAAAACTACGCAAACTTACATGAGAAATGTAGCTGTACATCCACAAAATATAGGGTACTTTGTTTCATAAAGCGCAAAAAAAGAAATTTTTGTTTTTAAAAGCCCCTAAGGGGCTCAAACAATAGGTCCCCCCATTTCATCAAATGAGTTTTTTTTAGACTAGAAGAGTTCTGCCTTTTAAGACAGGAAAGTATAGCAGTTAAAGATGCTACTTGAGAAAATACTTAAAATAGCCCTGTGGTTCAAATTATAAATTGTATTTGGAATAAAAATGAGACAGGATCTTCTTTAGTTTATCTTTGCCAGAAGATTTAAACTTCAAAAGCCTTGCCCTCATAATTTGCAAGTTAATTTATTTATAAAGGCTATTTTAATTATTGTGATCAATTCGTGCCGTCAATTCCGGCGCATGCGCGCTTCATTTGCAGTCTGGACGCTGAAACATCCTGCGGCTCTGACTGCAGAGCTGAGAGGGATTCCTGCAGGAGAACTGGGTTGGGATGGGGTATGCGCCTCACGGCAGCAGCTGCTGCTGCAGGACAAGAGTAGGAACGATACATGCTTTCACGTAAGAGTCTCCAAAAGCTGCCAGTGACACCGTAAAAAGTCGCCAGATTTGTCGCTAGTCGCTTTTTTTTTTTAAATAGTCGCTGGAGGGGTCTGAAAAGTCGCTGAATATAGCGACAAAGTCGCTGAGTTGGCAACACTGCGCCCTGCAGCGCTGGCTCACTCTGCCGTAATTTTTTTTCTTCCCCCGTTTAAGTCAAGTGGCAGTGATGACGGCGGCGGTGGATGACTCATTAATCGCGCGACACAACTAATCGATGATGAAATTCGTTGCCAACGCTTTTAAAAGTCGATTTTTATCGATTTTATCGATTCATTGTTGCAGCCCTAGTATACACCAAAATCCTTTTCTGGATACATACCTTGGTTACTTCTCTCTGTCTCCTTTGGAGAGCATCCAATTTTGCCTCCTCGGCTCCATTCGTCTGTCCAGGCACCTTTCCCTCGCTTGACCCTATGTGCTTGCCCTGCACAACCTCTTTGCCCTCTTTCTCATCCTCTTACTAATTTAATAACCCCTGTACCATAGTAAAGACTTGGACTCTGTAAACAGAGAATATATATGTATGCTTCCAACCAACACAATATCGCTATGAAGCTAAACGACTACAATTACTTAGTCTTTTTATGCCACTTTACCAAAAAAGACGATGATGTTGAACAAGTATATTTGCTATATTAGGCAGCCATTTTTTTCCCCCCTCCATACTGTTGAATTGGAAAAGCAGTGGGGGCAGCGGTTCATATCCCTGCAGTTCGACTATTCAATTACACTAAAAATTATGCACTGTATCTTCAACCAAGTGTATTGATAGCCTTGTTTGTTGCAATCATTAAAAAATTTTAATTAGGACTTAAACAAGGTAGATTTAAAACTTTTTAGATGAGTATTTCTTTGATCTCCACCTGATTGATAAAGACTAATCTACTCTGATAAATATTGAGTTATTTTGTCTTTCTTTCTGAAGAGTAACTAAACAGAAACAGGCCTTGGTTTTATGTCCAGTTTTAGATTTAGCTTAGATATCTGGACATCTATAACAATAAATACAGAGAGCATCTTGACCATAAACCTTCAGGTCAGTAACTATTTAAAGGAAACCTGAGAGCACTTATAGAATGACATACAGATAAAATTAAAAAATTAAGTTGCTTTAACATAGTGAATGTCTGAAAAAAAGATAAGTTTACTTATGTTCAAGTATTTTCCTGTGTGAATTTGATAAATTCTGAACTTTTACATGTTAAATTTTGAAAGCATTATTCTGTCCCTCATAGTTAATGATCTTTATGTGTCTTTCTCTAGGACACTCTGCTGCTCCTGTTGAAGAGCTTACCAATGGGCTGTTACTTCAACATCTACAGTTTTGGTTCCAGCTTTGAACATATCTTTCCGTGAGTGATATCTAACCCCTTACCCCAACATCCCTTTTAAAATATTATGAGACATATGGTGGCTTATCATATTAATTATCATGATTTTAACTAAAGTATTTTGAACATTTTCGATGGCAGTAAGAGCGTGGAGTACAATGAGAAGACAATGAATGAGGCTCTGAATAAGATTGAAAAGATGGAGGCAAACCTTGGCGGAACAGAGATCCTTCGGCCTCTCCAACACATTTATAGCCAGCCCTGCATTCCTAAACACCCTCGACAGGTAAGCTATACCCACTTATATAGAACCGACTATAAAGACTGCACAACTCCTTCAACTTTAGCACATAAATCTAATGTCAACAATGGTGACTCATCACAGTCACTCCTACGTCTTCAACATTTCATTGAATTCTGGTTTAACCTGTTTTCTTTGGAGCTCATGTTTGTCATAACTTTGGTAGCTCTTCATCCATGTCAACACTATTTGTCCTACTAAAACAGAGATACACTCCTCTTATACAGATCCTTCTAAAGACTTCCGGCTCCTGATTTAATCTGACACTGAGTAACATTGTGTGTTTTCTTCTCCATCAGCTGTTTGTTTTCACTGATGGAGAAGTGGGAAACACCAAAGCAGTTATTGACCTTGTTAAGAAGAATTCAGGCTCCCACAGGTGAAACCATAAACACATTTGTTGCCAGTCTGGATCATGTTCTCATGTTATATTGAGTTTAAAATCAAATCTTGAATTGCAGATGTTTCTCCTTTGGGATCGGAGAAGGAGCCAGCTCAGCTCTCATCAACGGGATGGCCAAAGAGGGAGGAGGTCACGCTCAGTTCATCACCGGGACTGACAGGATGCAACCAAAGGTAAGAAAAACATCTGACTAATAATTAACCAACTCATTAGAATGAGACTTCCTCGGGGCCGTCTCTCCTCCTCCCTTGGTGGGAGTCGGATTTCCTGGGTTTGCCCCTCCTTGGTGCCTTCGCTCTTGGGGTCCCTTTGGGTTTCTGGGGCTGTGGGTCTCCCGGCGCTGGACTCGGAGCTCGGGGGGGGGGGCTCTTCGGCTCTTCACATCCACCATGGAGCTTTACATGCACAAGTGCACTTTCACAAACAACTACAGGTGCTTGGTTCCAGGTACTTAGAGATTCACTGCCATATAGAAAACCCATATTCTTATATTCAGTTAACACTGAATACATGTCAGATGAAATAATACTACTTATACTTCAGCGATTGTATCAAGGTGTTACTTTATTGTATGTCTTGTACCATGTCCGTCGGTTGTGCTGTTGTTTTTTTACATCTCTTTGCAGGTGATAAGCAGACTGAAAAGGTTTTATCATTGTCTCCCTTTTCTCTCCTCTCTTTCATCGTTTCTTCTTTTTTTCAGTTCTTCCTTTCCTGTTCTACTTACATTGCAGTGTCCATATAATCTGTAAAACTCCCTGCATAATTATAATAAAGCAATTTATATGCATAAATCAAGCGGAACACTATGGCGATAGCCGTACTGCTCCACTTGTGAAAGTAAAATCTGTTGGGCTCTTTTTGGCAACAAGACAATTATTCTTATTGCCAAATCACCAGACAGGACACTGTTTAGAAAAAAAAAAAAAGAATGAATATGATTATATTAGAATAAATAATTTCACAACTATTGTTTGAAAAACAGGTAATGCAGTCACTCAGGTTTGCTCTGCAGCCTGCGGTGGAGGACGTTTCTGTCTCTTGGGATTTACCAAAGGGAGTGTCTGCCACCACTCTCTCTCCACCCATCAAAGCAATCTTTCAGGGTCAGAGGTCACTGATTTATGCTCAACTCACAGGCCAGGTATGTTCACCATCATTTGAGTTTCTGCTCATGAGGATTTTTAAATGATGATTCTTTCTAATTGTACTTCTACTTGTCAGAGTTCAGAGGCAACAGAGGGCAGCGTGACAGTGAAGTACACCCTGGCAGGTCATCCCTTCCAGAATCAGCTGCACTTCGATTTGAAACCTGCAGAGGACTCTGGGTAAACCTTACATCCCCTTTCATTAAGCATTTTTATTGAAAACTCTAGGTTTTTTAAACCTTAAATCAGGGAAACCCTGATTTTTCTGTTTTAAGAAGAGTGGACACATAACCTTTGTGTCTATTACTGTACTAACATTTTCCTGAAAGCTAACCTGATATTGAAAACTCTTGCCTCAATAGACTCGGTATACTCTGTCACTGTCTTTCACTGAGCCAACCACACAGGGCCGGTTCTAGCCCTTTGGTTGCCCTAGGCGAGAATGAGTTTTGCGCCCCCCCCCCCCCCCCCCCCCCCCTCCTCACTTTTGCCGTGCGAAATGCCAGTACTGTTTTCAGCATCTGTTTAGTGCTTCATTGAGTTGTGTTTACAGTTCCACAAAGAGTGCTGTGCGGTGAATTGTGCCTACAGTTGTGCAAAGTGTGTGTTACAAAATTGCAAATTGAGTGCAAAGCAGTGTTTGTTCTTTTAGTTTTGTGAACTCAGTGACTGGATTTGCTATAAGTATTAATAGTTTTAGAAATTGTGCTATAAGAATCAAGGTTGTGTTTAAGCATTCAGAAAAAACTGTAACTTAGCATGGAGTGATGCATAGACAAATACCAGAATAGGTTTCAGTACCTTTTCTTTTTTATTATTTTAAATAATTTATTACACACTAAAAGTTAGGACTGTGCAAAAACACTTTTAACCATCTGTAAGGACACTTAGGTAAAGTATAACTAAAAAACTGGATTGAATCAATGAATGAATTTATTTCAGACAATTAACAAATTTAACACACATTAAACAAATATTAAATAAATAAATTTCAGAAATTACCGAATTACAATAAAAAAATAATAAATTTAAGAAATTCTTCAACCAAGGACTACATAAAAAAGTAATTGATAAACATTAAATTAAATTTTCTGTTCCAGTTCAATTAAATCATTTGAACAAAAATAGAAATGAGATAAACAAAATTTTCCTCTAAATAAAATATATCAGGTATATTTACCCTGATTTCTGACATTGATTAGTGATTAAAGAAAGGATTAACCCTCTACGAACAAAAGTGCTTTTATGAATACCATTACAGTACTATCGATAATTTTCTGTTATTTGGTGGAAAGACGATGCAACAAAAATTTTTTAACAGAACTGGTATTGCTTCTATTGCTTAACAAGTGAGCATAACAAAAACGTTTCTAGCCTTCAATAAACATGGCTAATGTAATAGGCCACTTCGAAATGACATAAAACTAACTAGAATATATTTTCACAATTGTTGGTTAATGTATTGTCTACTGTCACTTTTCATCATGTTTTTAGTGATTAGGAAAATATTTAACAAGTACATAATTGTATTTTAAATTAAATGTAATTTTTAATAAATGTTGGCATCAGTAGTTTAATTATATATAGAGCAATATACAACTGTATTACTCATGTTTCTCGCCAAAAACAAAATTTCCCGTTTTCTTTACGTTACACTTGAACGCATCATGATAACCTAATTGTCGTTTTACTGAGCCAATCTGAACACATCATCACACAGCACGTCTGAAATTTTTCAAGCTAACTAGCTTGTATGCTTCCGATTACAAGACGGATTTCACAATTAATATTTTTAACTGACCGGACAAGCTACAAAGTCTGTGTGCGCTTACCAGTGGTACTCTGAGTGGATGATTAAGACGGGCCCGACTGCGGCGGCAGGAGGAGGAGTCTTTTCCGTTCAGCCATTCTCGAGTCGCGAGCAAAGTTAAGTGCCAGACTTCACTTGTTTTACTTTTAATATCTGTTTGCTTACAATTTCATTCCAAAATATTGGTGTACATGCTGCAGTGATTGACGTCACGACTTCCAGGTTGGAGGGCGCTTGAAAAGTGATCAGAATCTTTTCCGATTTTCTCTTAAATGTGAAAAAATAAATAAAAAAACGGTGGTATATTTATTTGTTCATATTTTGCTATTTATATATACGTAAGGTTAAGTCAAACTGACGGACGCTTCATAACCGGTTTAATTCGCTTTTTTTTTCTAATTCTATGATTAATGGGAAGTAAGCCTAAGGGCGACGCTAGAGGGCGCCCCCAACACATTTGTCGCCCTAGGCAATTGCCTAGCTCGCCTATAGCAATCGCCGGCCCTGCAACCACATTTCATTTTCTAATTTAGTCAGGAGGGTTTTGTTTGAACAATAAAAAGAAAATCATTCACTAGGTCCATTAGCAACATTAGGTGTTAAAAACACAAACATAGCTTGTCCTTTTGACGAGGATCAAATTAAAGATTGAGCAGCATGAATTTGCAGAGAATTAAGTATTTATAGGGAAAGGGTTCTCAGACCACATATAAATGTCCTTATCTATTCAGATATCTTTATGAGTACTACTGTTTTACCACTCAGTCCATCACATACATCCACAGCCTTATTTATCCTGAATTTTGCAGCATTACACAGACTTCTTTAACAGGTATTTAGCAGAGATTCATTTTGGCGAGAGCGCATTGATGCATGATAACAGCATTATAGAAAACAACTGCACAGTCAAAGTAGCACTTAGTATTTACTGTGTCATTGTAGACGGGATCAAAATGTGGTGGAATTTCATGAGCGAATGCACAGGTCTTACCTGTTTGAACAACGTTTATATATTTCATCTTCACCTAGTCACATTTGGGTTGGGGTTGAGAGGACCCAAATGCGGAGGCAGAGAGGCTGAGGTGATTTCTTGCAGTTTTAATTGGTGAAAACAGTAAACAAAGCCAGGAATCCAAAAATCCAACTTAAAAAGTTAACAAACCAGAACCATGGAGACAGCAGGGGAAAACAATCACAAGGAGCCAGGGTAGACGAGGTAAGATGAGAAGCAGCAACGAGGACCTAGCGACGACAAAGAACCAGCAATGAGAGATAGCAGAGGGAGAGTATATGTGGCTGACTGAACAAAGGCAGGGCTAACGAGCTGATGAGCAGGTGTGAGTGGAGATAATGAGGAAGCTAAGGGAAAAGGAACAAACACAAGAGGGCAACAGAAGACAACAAAGAAAAACATAAGCACTAAAATATATCTACAAACACAAAGTAGTAAATAAACCAATGAAACACACGGTTCAGAGTTAAACAGAAAGTAAGACCATGACACACGTGCTGCCAGGGGTACATCTCTCCTGTGAGATTACATCTAAAGACAATACAGTGATACTCTACCATTCAAACTGTGATGTTATTGTGATTACAGCAGACTATGGCAGGCTGCTTTGATATTTAATAGTTTGTATGAATAGCATTTCTTATATCTGAAATAAATTTTTTCTTGTCATAATGAACACTTCAAACTTTTCTTACCTCCTTCCTTACAATGTTGACAGTAAGGACGGAGCACAACAAAAATGAAACTAGCAGCTGTTCAATTCAATTCAATTCAGTTCAGTTTATTTATATAGCACCAAATTCACAATACATGTCATCTCAAGGCACTTCACAGTTCAACCAGATCATAAAGTCAAATTTATACAAAGTTTTCTATCTAAGGAAAACCAGTTAATTGCATTGACTCATTGACTCAAATACAATCCCTCACACTAAGCATGCTTGTAGCGACAGTGGAGAGGAAAAACTCCCTTTTAACAGGAAGAAACCTCCAGCAGAACCAGGCTCAGTGTGAGCGGCCATCTGCTGAGGCCGACTGGGGTTCAAGGAGACAGAAGCAGAGACACAAAAAGCAGCTGTAAAAGGCGGCCCCGTCCAGGAAACACACAGCCAGGCAGACGAGCTCCGAGCCAGCTCCCATGCCAGAGGACGAAGAGAGCACATCCACTCAGTCACGGTCAGAGAAACAGGACCACACTAGAAAACAGGTCGATCTCCAGCATCTATAAACAAGGGTGTTGATGGAAGTTGCACAGCTGATGCTTCTCTCCAGGATGGCGTCACAGCCAAACAGGAACAGACGAGGCAAAGCTACTCTGAGGAAAAGCAGAGAGAGCAGAACGTTAGAGATTGAACTAACAGATTCTGCAGAATAGGAGAATAGAGAAAGAATGAAGCAGAATGATGAAATGGGGGTCCCTATGTCCTCCAGAAGTCTAAGCCTATAGCAGCATAACTATAGAGATAGCTCAGGATAACCTGAGCCACTCTAACTATCAGCTTTATCAAAAAGGAAAGTTTTAAGCCTAGCCTTAAAAGTAGACAAGGTGTCTGCCTCACGGACTAAAACTGGTAGTTGGTTTAAAAAACAGTCAGAGAGGAGAGGGTTGTGATGAAATACTGTTCTTTCTTCCCAACAATGCCATATTTGTCAGGGTTTGGTTGAGTTTTTGAGGACCCAAATGCAGAGGAAGGGAGGTAGTTTTGATGGAGTGTTCACAGCCGGAGAATCCACAGAGTGAATCCAAAATCCCAACACAAAAATGCAAAACAAGGCAGGAATCCAAAACTCAAACAAAAAAAAGAAAACAAATCAGAATCATGGAGACATGAGGGAAAACAATCACGAGGAGACAGGGAAAGACTAGGAACCAGCACTGAGGAACTGTACAGGCAGAGTATTTATGGCTGACTGAACAAAGACAGGACTAATGAGCTGATTGGGAGCAGGTGTTAACAGAGGCTTCTAAAAAGAAGCTAGGGAAAAGGGGACCAACACAAGATGGCAGCAGAGGGCAACAAATAAAAACGTAAGAACTTAAATACACCCAGAAATTACAACAAAATGGGAATTAAACTAGAAAACAAAGAAAAACATGAATCAACATGAAACTAAAAACTCAACGAAAACTTAAAAGAACCAAGCCCGTGACAGATGGTGGAGCTAGGACAATGGGTCCTAGGAACTTAGGGCATTAGGCAACTGCCTAGTTTTGCCTAAGGGGGGGAAAAAATCTGCCTCTGTTTGCCTCCATTACCGTACCTACTGATAATCCTACACCCCAAGTATGATCAAGGTCTGCCTTCTCCCTTTTTTTATGCTCCCCGCCAGTGACGGGTCCTTATTCAGAAGGTTGTATTGCCAACTTTATCCATGCGTGTGTAGCCCTCAGCTCCTAAGCCCTTATAATTTTACACAGTATAACTTTGTATAACAGTTCATCAAGTATCAAATATAACAGTGAAATATCCTTCTTTCGGGACATTTGATAAGTGGATCATGATATGAGGAAAATACTGAAAAAGGAATGAGAGACAGTTTGTTCATTAACTGAGCTTCACCTATAAATCTCTCTTCCTCCTTTATGCAGATTAACAGTCCACAGGTTAGCCTCTCGCACTGTGATTCGCTCCCTGGAGTCGGAGCAGAGGACACAAGGAGGACAGCAGGATGAAGAAGTGAAGAAGAAGGTAGTGGAGCTCAGTGTCCAATCAGGAGTGAGCAGCTCTTTGACTGCGTTCATTGCTGTCAACAAAGCCAGTGGCAAGGCAGTTCAAGGACCACTGGTGCGGAGAAATATTCCAACAGCTTATCGTGGATGCATGAGTGAGTGATTTCATTTTTGCTTGTTAAGAATTTCTTTGTTTCAGTTTCGAGTCAAAATCTAGTTTTTCAAGTCTTGCATGTGTTATGGTTATATCAACTTATTTTGTTAAGAAAATTGGTGGGCATGAATTTAGGAGTACATTAACACCAAATAACTATATAGTAAAATTTACATTTAGGTACTATTTCTAATTAAAAGAATTAAAAACTTGTCATTTCTCTTTATTCAAACATTTCCTTTAGTTGCTGAAAATCATGTTTTATCTGTGTTTCCACAGATATTTTGTATGAATTATCTTGGAGGCAAGAAGGCCTCCTTATATCACCCTAATATTTAGCTTCATGCAGTTCTGTGCCAAATCAAAGTAGGGACTGTCTTGGGGACTGTAAAATAGACTTGCACTGATCAACTTGCAGTGCTTGGAAATGGGCCGATTTTCTTGTGATCGACCAAGACCGACAACAGACCGGTCAATATAAAGACCGCCAATTTATTTGTGGTTGTTGCGTTCTAGATAAATTTTTCTCTAAGCAGACATGCATCTTTCTCCTTTGCTTGGTCCATGTTTGTTTTGGTCAGAGTGCCAAAAACAGGGGGACGAATCACCTGGAAAACGGACGTAAGGGGAGAGGGCATTCTGAGCTCAGACAGTGGGGGAATCAGGATGAAAACACAGGGAAAGAGAGCACTATAACCGGGACAAGGTGGCCAGTTGTGCCCCCTTTGGAGCCATGGAGCCACAGTAGACAGGAGCAGACAGCTTGGTTTATATTTGTCACACTAAATAGGGCATCTGCTCCAAAAGTGATGCAATTATGCTGGGACCAGTCGTGCAGCCTCGGTGCTAGGTTGTGCACCTCCAAATCTTTCTAAGTTGTCGTGACCGTGCGTGCCAGTCTTCTTCCAAATAAGAGGATATACTCTACAAATGAGTTTGCCTGTACTAAAATCAAATGGCCCAGAAGGTTCAAGTGGAACAGTTTGGTTAAAGGCAGTGTTGTTATTTTTTAATTCAGTGAATGATAACAGCATACACAAACTAGAAAACCACCCAGAGAGCTCAGACCTCCACTAGGCAGCCAATTTTGCCCCATTGAGTGAGTTCCTCCTACGGCTGAAACTCGCACATGATTTGGATCATTCCCAAAGTTTTATGATTTGTTCCTTGGCATGAGGGGCACCTTTAGTAACAATTTCCTTAAAATCCCTTCATAAGTTTATAAATAAGGCAGAGCATGGGCCTGCAGCCTCTGGTGTTTATTCTGCTTGCACCTTCTTCATTCACTGTGCTTTCAAAGTCTTGATCAGCAGATCAAGACTTTGAGGGAGGCATGGCTCACTTCCTGTTTTTTTTGTCTTCAATATAGTTTTATATATATATATATATATATATATATATATATATATATATATATATATATATATATATATATATATATATATATATATATATATATATATATATATATATATATATACATACATGTAGTTATATATAGTTTACTGGCCAGGCTTGTGGCAAAAACAAGGATTTTAGTTTCACCTACAGCATGAATAAAAACTGAGCTTTTATTCATTACATTTTGTTAATGATCCAGATCATAATCAGGAATTTTTGAAAAGATTCTCTAATATTTTGAGATAGGGATATTCGGCAGAACAAGCAGTTCCCGAATAAACCAGAGGGTGGCAGCAGTAACTATTGACAGCTTCAGCATCAGACTCAAAGTCAGGAAGTATTTTAATAACGACAAAAACACAAGAAGAGGAAGCGTTGTTGGTTTGTTAACAGAATTAATTGAAAACAGATTTTATTAACATTGTTTTACCAGAGGTGTCCCTCATGCCAGAACAATTAATTTAAGTTTGGTAATGATCCAGGTTACGTGAGTTTAAACAACAGGTCTAAGTCACAATTTGTGCAAAATATTCTGCTTGGTGGAAGTCTGCAGTCTCTGAGTACTTTTCAAGTTTTATATCTGTTATAAAAAAAAAAAAAGTGCTTTCTATTTATTTCCTCATTTCCTACCACAATATATAACTTGTCATGATAAAGCAGAATTGAAGAATTTATGGATTATATGTTGTGATTGATGATCAGGGATCTCATTGTTTCTGACATCTTAGAAGCTAGAGTAGCTGATACTGGGCAATAAAACTATTTCAATAAATTGTTGAGGAAAAAACAAACAAACACTGCATTCTTTATTTAAATAAAAAGTAAATTTTCTAAAATGGTCTACATATTTTTAATGGTATACGAAAATTCTTATATCTCTAATTTCAATTAAACTTAAGGTAAGTTTTCAAGTGCAGCTGATACTGGGCAGTAAAATGATTTCAGTAATTTGATCTCAGCTGGAGGATTTTTTATTTTTTTTAACCTATTTTAAAAACCAACTCTGCTTTCTTTATCATATTCAGTTACATAAATGGTATATTTTCTAAAATGATGTACACATTTTTAATGCTATACTTATGCAAAAATTCTTAAATCTCTAATTTTAACTAAACTTAAGGTAAGTTTTCCAGTGCAGCTGATACTGGGCAGTAAAATAATTTCAATATTTGATCTTAGATTTTGTTTTTTGACCTAATTTTTCTTGCTTTAGTGTCAGGTTCTTCATTTAATAGTGTTGGTAAATAATAAAGTAATTTTTGTAGAATGGTCTACATATTTTTAATGTTATACTTGTACGACAATTCTTAAATCTGTGATATAAATCTTATGTTTTTTTTTTTTTTTTTGTTTTTTGGGGTTGTTTTTTTATACCTATTTTCTTCGTTTCAGTGATGAAGTGTTCAGCTCCAAAATTTAGAGGTAAGTAAAGCTCTTAAAAAAAAAACAACAACTCTGCATTCTTTATCATATTCAATTAAATAGTACATTTTTTAAAATGGTTTGAACATTTTTTTAATGCTATACAAAAATTCTTAAATCTCTCATTTCAATTAAACTTAATATAAGTTTTCCAGGGCAGCTAATGCTGGACAGTAAAATGATTTCAGCAACTTGATCCTAGCCTTTTTTATGTTATTTTATTAATTTTTTTATCTTTTAACTTTGTTTTAGTTAAGGGTTTTTCAGCTCCAAAATTAAAAGGTAAATAAAGCTCTTAAAAGAAAATCTGCATTCTTTATTATATTCAATTAAATAGATATAGATATAGATTTATCTGAATTTCAGCAATGAAAGGCTTCTTGCATGTATCATAGATCCAGGAAATACTTTTTGTGATGAGCAACAGTTTTTGGAGGGTGGAAGGCATCCTTCCCATTACTCTAATCTTAAGCTTCCTCCAAATTTGCACCAATTTAAATATGGACTGAATTTATCAATCCAAACAGCAATATTACCTTCAATTAGTCAAATATTTTGGAAAAATTTATATATAATTCTAAACCTACATAGGGACAGGTGCTGCAAGTTAGGGTTAGGGTGTTTTGGCATTTTCTAAAAACCCCCATTATCAGAATTTCAGAACTTTGCAGAGCACAACAGGATGTGTTTTCTAGATTGCTTCTGTGCATCAAATTTAGATCCCTGAAGGCACAAAAATAAAGCTCAAACAATGTATTCTTTTAAGCATTTACTGCACAGCTACTTTACCCTTTTGTGGGACCACTAAAGCTGATGTGGTGCAAAACTGGTCAATGTACACATTTATGTGACATCTATGTCACAGTATTAGCAAGTTAACCCTCTAGTATATAGTGGTTAAAGTCTATGATTATAAAGCAGGGGACTGGGGTTTGAATCTTGGTTGCATCAGGAAAACAACCAGAGTTAAAACCATTCAGAGGCTGTGAACAAGTCATAATGACTTGCTGTGATGACTCCTGAATATGGGAGCAGTACATAAGCATGCATGTTTCCAATAGCTTCATTTGATTGTCCCAGATGTAGATAAACAGATATGAACACTAAAGGTGTAATGCATACTAGGGATGGAACGGTTTGTAAAAACCGTCCGAACCGTTCGGTTCGCGTGTGTATCGTTCGGTTCATGCGCGGCTCCTTTTTCTCATAGGCGATGCGTTTACACTCCAGAGCAGAAGGTGACGGCACTGCTACCAAAGCCAACCACCAGTAGTAAACAAGAAGAAGAAGAAGTGAAGCAGCGTAGCCGGGTGTAGCAGAAAAAAATCAGTTGTTGTGGATAGTTGTGTGGGTATGGCGAGTGGGAAAGAACAGGAGTTGGAAGACGCGCCAGCAGCACTTTATAGGTCTGCTGTATGGGACCACTTTGCATTTAGAGTGACCTACGATGACGGCGGAAAGAAAGTTGTGGATAAAAGTGCAACAGTGTGCAAGCATTGTGCAACACGTTTTGTTTATGCTAACAGTAGGGTGACCATATTTTCATTCGGGAAAACATGGACACCTTGGAGCGTGGGGGGGGGTTAATCTCTGTTCCCATGCATAGAGATGTCTGTGGCATGCACTCGCTTAACATAGGCCTACGTAATCCTACAATAACATTATATTTACTGTTGATTTATTAAAAATGCTTTTCAGTAAAAGTCAACGGCAATAACTCCAATAACAAACAATAATTTTATTCAAGATTTATTTATTAAAAATGCTTAACAATTCCTGCAATGAATAAATAGCACAATGAAAGAAATAATGTCTCATCATCGGGATTTGCTCCATGATCAGAGGAAATGTTACTTGGCGCCGAACAGTGGTGAAAATTGGAAGTTCAGTTTAATATGATACAAGTCTATGTATAGTTCTGTCTGAAATGAATGAAAATAGTTGTTTTAATGGTTATAGAGTCAGATATGTGGCGGTAATGTTTGGTTTATCTAAAGGTTTTTATCTGTTACTGTGTAAATGGGTTTGGCTGTAATTTAAGGACAGATTATAATATATCTGCAGGGGGGGGGAACTATAAATCTGATAGGAGTTTAATTTTTTTATTGCTTTTTTGCACAATATGCTTAACTAAGTTTTTTTGTTGTTGAATATTCGAGATTTTGCAGATATATTTTGTACATACATTGTTTAGATTTACTTATATCTTTCTACCCCTTTTATAGAATAGAAAATCCCTTTATTGTCCCACAATGGGCAAATTTACAGCAGCAGAAAGATTATTAAAAATGGTCACACAAATGTGGACCTGGAAAAATGTCTAAGAATAACATACCGTATTTTCACGACTATAAGGCGCACTTAAACGTCTTTTTTTCCCCTCAAAATGTGCGGTGCGCCCTATGGTGCGGTGCGCCCTATGTGTGTTGTAACTGCGACTTTTGAGACCACCTCATTGAGGAGATGATGAAAGAGTGGCTGAATGTAAGGAGACCAGGTGTTTTTTTTTTCCACTCATCACCATCGCTGTTAATATGTAACTCCATGCGTGCCCATCTCACAGCTGATGTGAAAAACATGGGGAAACAAATTAACCCTGTGCTCGCTCGACATCGGTGTGAACCGGACCCAGCAGGTGCAGCAGAAGCAGCGAGTTTACATGCAAAGTCAATGGTTGACGCGCGTATAGGCGCAGCAAAAGGTCCCACAGCGCGTTTTGAGCTGCAGGTGCAGCACGTCGGGAGCGTTTAAGCATCTGACGCACCGCCAACGCGCTGCTGCTGCTCGAGATGGAAAAATTGAAGTTTTGCTTCTGGACGCGCCGCATCAACCAATCAGAGAAGCTGATCTGGGAGCTGACAGCGAGACAGACACAGCGCTCTGATGACATTAACGCAAATGAAAAAGGCTGGATGGATGAGAAGATGATGAAAGGCAGGTGTATGTGAGGAGACCAGGTGCTTTTTTCCCCGCATCACCATCGCTGCGTGCCCATCTCACAGCCGATGTGAAAAAAAGGTGAATCAAATGAACGCTGTGCTCGCCGTTATCCCGGGGGTCTGACAAAGGAACTTCAACCGCTCGACATCGGTGTGAAGCGGCCGTTCAAAGTAAGGCTGCGAGCGGCGTGGGAGCGGTGGATGACAGACGGAGACCACAGTTTCAGGATAAGTGGAAGGCAGCGCCGGGCAAGTTACGCCACCGTTTGCGGATGGATTGTAGATGGACTAACGTGTCTGCTGGCTCTGTTGTACAAGCTTTCGCAAAAGCCGGCATTATTTCTGAGGAGCCGCGCGGAACGGAAAGTGACTGACAGCGAAGAAGGGGAAATTGGCATGTCTGATTTAGCGCAGCTGTTTAATTCAGAAACAGAGGATGATGACTTTGATGGGTTTGATTAATACTTTGTAATAAATACACGAATAAAGCACAAACATACTCAGTTTTGCTCCCGCTCTATTTTTCTACCTGAAAACTTAATTCAACAGCAGCCTGTGCGCGTCTCCTCCTCTTCACCGCGGTGGCTGGCAGGTGTTTTTTCATCTAAATAATCTAAATCTTGCAGCTGTATTTGCTGTGATCAGGGGGAATAAAGTAGTTTTAATATGTTTTTAAGTGAGAAAGGCCACCTGAAAACTTAATTGCAGTCAGTTCAACCAGATTATCTATTTCTGTCGGAGGCGCTCAGACCCCCACATACCAGCGGTGCATCGACAGCAGAAATCCCTTCAACAGCAGCCTCACGGCGGCGGCTGGCAGGTGTTTTTCATCTAAATAATTTACAGTGCAGGCACCAGGATACCGACAATAAAAGCGAACATATTCCGTCGGCAGGTTTCAGGATTTTAAGTTAATTTAGGAGTAATCACAGCGCTGTGTCATCTGCGATGTGTCTGTCTCATGGCCAGCTCGCAGGTTTGATTAATACTTTGTAATAAATACATGAATAAAGCACAGTCATACTCAGTTTTGGGCCCGCTGTATTTTTAAAATACGCAGTTGAACTATTTAAAGGTAGTAGAGGACATGTACCTGTATATAAAAAATGCGCCCTATAGTCCGGTGCGCCTTATGTGTGTGTTAAATACAGAAATGGGACACATAACCTAGACTGCGCCTTTTAGTACGGTGCGCCTTATGGTCGTGAAAATACGGTAATAGGGAAGAGTTGAAATATAAAAAATACAATACTGTGAAGTGTTTTAACAATATAAAACAGGAGAATACATAACCCCTATGCAGCTATGGAAATTTTTACAGTGATGGATATTTGAAAATAGGAGCAACATCAGAGATGTGCAGAATGACAGCAGCATGTTATTTAACTGACTAAGGTTTCTATCATTACATTTGATTTTATTTGTTCATGCTCCCGGTGGTTGGAATCTTTATTCCGCTCTGGATTCTTGTGAGTGTAGTCTTTGTTCACTTTAACTTTTTAAAAAAATAAATAAGTAAACAAACAGTTTTGAAAACCTCGTTATTCATTCTTTTCCTGCTTTGTGTGTCAACTTTCACGGTTGCTAAACAACAGAGCTTACGGCGGTAAAACCCGCCGAAGGGTGGACCTGTTAGAATTTACAGACAGAACTCTTCCGGCCTCCTTATTTTCAAGGACTTCGAAGGATCCAGTCTAGGTAGACCGGTTCCTTGGAGGATGCAGCCCAGGTTTTCGAACAGAGCCTCTGATTAAGAACAGGGCTGCCCGCACTGATGCGGCTCAGGAATTACGTCACACGCAGCGTCGTGCGCAGTGCCGTAGTGCCTGTACATTTAATGGTCCAATTAAAGTAATTTAAAAAATCAGGAAATTTCCTCACTTTCTAAAAAAAAGATATGTCCCGGGAAATACGGACGTTTGGTCACCCTAGCTAACAGCAACATGACCAACATGTCATGCTAACCCCGAAAATCCCACATACTCCGTCAGCGCTCCACTTCGCCCCGCTGTGCTCCAGACCGCCTTCACAAAACAAAGGCCTCCAGCCTCCGCTGTGGCTCCCATCCGCTCCGCTCTGAGTTCCTTGGAGATCGTAGAGGGCATGCGCAAGATGATTAAATTCAAAGCAGCAAAACATGCGGAAATGATCCAGGGTTTCCGTGGATCATTAAAAATAATTACAATTCATACATTTTTTGGGATTTCTTCATTAATTTTTATGGGATTTCGGTGTAACAATCAACATATACCGAACAGAAAACCGTGACCATGAAACCGTGAACCGAACCGTGGATTTTGTGAACCGTTCCACCCCTAATGCATACCCATTCAAATCTGCTGATGTTCCAAAGCTAAATATCTGTTTGACCTGTGTGCTAGGAAAGATAGATGGAGCCCTGCTGCTCAGCAAGAGTGTCACTGATATTGTCATAATCACATGGTACATCAAGCAATCACAGTTGCGATGAATCATACTGCTGGGGATCTACCAGCTGTAATAATGGCTGAAAGCAATCAACGTCAAAAGTAACATACTCAATAAGTCTATGTTCTCTCCATGGCAAAGTGACTTATATTTTTGCCTGTGATACAAGGGACCTGGGTTCAATTCTGAAGGCTAAAACGGAATCTGTGAGCAAGTTATGCTGATTTGCTGTGATGACTGGTGAATATGGAAGCAGCTTAAAGAACTCAAATACTCACTAAGTTAATCAATTTAGCTTAGCTAAGAGTTTTATTGATTTTCAAGACGTCTACAGAGACCAGATTTGCATCACATTTATCAAGAGTTCATCTGGTGTTTCATTCTGCACTTTCAGGAGACCAAGATTAGTCGCACAAATGTAATCTATTATAATAATGATATAAATGTTTGTGCAGTGGGTATGTTAGAAAAATAAAAAAAATATATGTATCTGCACCTGCATTGGCCATTTTTATGGCGCCAAAAAGGGGCAAGTCTGACTTTCAAATGTTGACACATGTTTAGACATCTATAATAGGCTACTGACCTTCAGTCTCAAGATAGATATGATCTGCCTCTCCATCAGATGTCTAATTTTTATTTGGATTAAGTGGGTTATCCTTTGCAGTACATAACATGACTCTTTAATCCTACTTGAAGGACAGGGGCTTTTAGGTGTCAGTAGGTAACTTTACATCAGAGACCATAAAAATCACAGTGTTCTTTAAAGGTTCATGTTGGAACCCCCCATTCAACATTTATGTGCTCCCTTCTTTCATATTATAAGAAAAGACTATGTGTTACCATAAGTATACAGAGGATACACAACTTTACATTACAATGTCAAATGATGACTGAACACATTCAAGTGTTGAGGGAAAGAAACTTGGAAATCAATAATTTGATGTGAGAACAAAGCTGAAGCAAAACTAAGGTAATACATTTTGGATCCAGGAAATCACTGTAGTTTACCAAATAGTGATAACCAACACTTGAAGCTTTTATTAATTTTTATTTTTTATTTATTTATTTTTTTTTTCTCTACACTTTTTATTTATTTATTTTTGTTGCTATACTTGGTTCATCTCGACCACTAGGTAAGTAAAGCTCTTCAAAAACTACACATTCCCTAACCATTTGAAATAAATAGTGCATTTTTGAAAGTGGTCTACACAGTTTTACTGATATATTGTTAATAAAATTGATATAAAATGATTTCAGTAATTTGATCTTAGATTTTTTTTTTTTTTTTTACCTCTTTGTTTTAGTTTTGGCTTGTTCAGTTCCACAAGGTAAAAGTAAGTAATAAAAAGTAACTTTTCTCAAATGGTCTCCATATTTTTTATGTTATCTCTAATTTAAATTAAACTTATGGTAAGTTTTCCAGCATAGCTAATACTGGGCAGTTAAATGATTTCAGTAATTTGACCTATTTCTGGGTTATTTTTAGTTGTTTTTTTGTTTTTGTTTTTTTTACGTATTTTCTTCGTTTTAGTGATGATGGGTTCAAAATCAGGATTAAGAGGTAAGTAAAGCCCTTAAAAAAAACAACAACTCTGCATTCTTTATCATATTCAATTAAATAAATAGTACATTTTATAAAATGGTTTAAACATTTTTAATGCTATACAAAAATTCTTAAATCTCTAAATTCAGTTAAACTTAATGTAATTTTTCCTGGGTAGCTAATACAGGGCAGTAAAATGATTTCAGCAATTTGACCTAAGCCTTTTTTTTTTTTACCTATTTACTTTTGTTTTACTTTGGTTTTTCAGCTCCAAAACTAAAAGGTAAGTAAAGCCCTTAAAAAAAAAATTGCATTCTTTATTATATTCAATAAAAAAATAGTAAATTTTACTTAATGTATACTTATTAAAATGAGAATCAGTTTAAAAAAAAAAAAAGGTTTGTCTATTTGATTGAAAATATTTTGTGTGTTTTTTAGTGCTGTCAAAATTATCGCGTTATTAACGCGTTAACGCGAGGCCATTTTAACGGCGATAATTTTTTTAACGCGAGATTAACGCTATGTGGTTTTATGGTACAATTTTCCAAGTGCATCCCGCTGCAGCCTGCGGGAAGGCGGGGCTATTTTCCCCCAGTCTATGCATTTCTCATAGGCTTCCAGAGCGGAGCTCCTCAAGGAAAAAAGACGCTCATACACTGGGTGGCGCTAGTGCCTTTTCTTTAAGCCCCACCACCAACAAACAAGTTGAGTGTCTGGTAACTAGTAGCAACCTGAAATACGCTGAGAAAACAGATTACTGAGGTGAAATGGAATCTGCTACGGCACTCTTGTCGGTATCGTGTGTGTGTGTGGGTGGGTGTGTCTGTGTGTGGGTGAGTGGGTGAGTGGGTGTGTGTGTGTTCTCATTTTTGTTAAGAGGCTGAAAAGTAACTTTCTAGAGAGCATAGACTACCTTCATCTAGTGATGTTGGTCTATTGATTTTGATGTATTGATTGAAAATTGTTCATTATTACCTTGGTTAATTATCATCTAATGTTAATTCTACTAAATTTTATAGCAGTAGGGTAAAATGCTTGTCTTTGTTCAAAAGACTGTATTAACTGTAAAGACTGTCTTTTACATCAGCCTGTTTTCAGGGCCTTTTTTTTGGCTACATATTTGTTATTTTTTGCTACATGCCTCCCCATCTTCTTGCCATATGTTTCTATGGCATAAATCAGTATCTGTGACCTGTTTTCATTTTAAAAAAAGAACATTGGCACAAACCTAGCCTGTATGTATTTTTTTGTATGTCATCCAGAGTATTTAAATGATTTTCAATCAGGAAAAAAAATGTGCGATTAAAATGCGATTAATCGCGAGTTAACTCAGGCATTGATGCGATTAATCGCGATTAAAAAATTTAATCGATTGACAGCACTAGTGTTTTTATATTATCAATGGAAAAATATTGATTTGACTTTCAGCAATGAAAGGCTTCCTGCATGTATCATAGATGTTTCCAGGAAGTATTTTTGGTGATGAGCTACAGTGTTTGGAGGGAGGAAGGCATTCTTCCCATCACCCTAATCTTGGGCTTCCTCCAAATTTGCACCAGATTAAAACAGGGACTGAAATTATTCAATGCAAACAGCAACATTACCTTCAATTAGTCAAATAGTTTGTAAAAATGTACATGTAATTCTAAACCCCCATAGGAACAATTGCTGCAAATTAGCTCATGCTTTAAGAGCCATGATTCCAGCCATTGTAATTTTAAGGGAAACAAATAGATATTCAATTCAATTCAGTTTATTTATATAGCTTCAATTCACAACACATGTCATCTCAAGGCACTTTCCAGTTCACCAGATCATACAGTCAAATTGATTCATAGTTTTCTAAGTAAAACCAGTTGATTGCAACAACTTATTGACTCGAATGCAATCCCTCACACTAAGAATGCTTGTAGTGACAGTATAGAGGAAAAACTCCCTTATAACAGGAAGAAACCTCCAGCAGAACCAGGCTCAGTGTGAGCGGCCATCTGCCGAGGCCGACTGGGGTTCAAGGAGACAGAAGCAGAGATACAAAAAGCAACTGTAAAAGGCAGCCGCAGGAAACACACAGCCAGGCAGACGAGCTCCAAGCCAAATCCCATGTCAGTGGATGAAGAGAGTACATCCAGCCAGAAACAGTCAGAGAAACAGGACTACACTGTAAAACAGGCCGATCTCCAACGTCTATTAACAAAGGTGTTGATGGCAGCAGCACAGCTGATATTTCTCTCCAGGATGGAGTCACAGGCAAACAGGAACAGACGAGGCAAAGCTACTGTACTATGAGAAAAGGCAGGGGGAACATATCGTTAGGGATTGAACTAACAAATTCTGCAGAGTGGGAGAATAGAGATAGAATTAAGCAGAATGATGAAATTGGGGTCCATTTCGCGCTGGGAGAACGACATTGGACTCTATGCAGAGCTCGCTCCTCATCAAGGGACCGTCTGCAAGTTGCAAAATAATCAGAGTGAAATATTTAAAAGGGTTGCCAAGGAGAGGTGCATTATTATCAAATTAATTTCATATGTATCTCTTCTCATGTCTTTCATAACACATTTATTGTATTCGAAAATAATACTTTATTGAGGAATTTCCCAAAGCCTAAATAACAAATGGCACCTCTATTTTATTATAAGAATAAGTACAAAATGAGCAATTATTACCCTATAGATCATTGTAGTGCCTCAAAACTTGTAGGATAAATAGATAACTTCATCTGGATCAACCTACAATTGTTACTTTGGGAGGATAGGCCAAACTGTATTTTTGGAGATTTTTTCATTGTTATAAGCTTAAAATCGCCAATAATTACACTATAGATCATTGTAGTGCTACTAAACTTGTAGCACACATAGATAACCTCATCTAGTTCATACTACAACTCTTACTTTCAGAATATGTGCTAAACTCTATTTTTGAGGTTTTTTCATTATTATAAGCAGACCAGGGGCCGGATCTATCAAAGGTTTGCGTGTATTAAAACGTGAGCTATTTCACTGCGCACGCTAAAAAATGTACAAACTGATCTATCAACAGCGTGCTAAAAGGATTTGGTCTTTAAAACGTGCTAAATAGCGCCTCTTATCCATTTAGTACTTTTTCTGCAATGAATATGCAATATGGGGCGTTTACACGCTAAAGTGCGTCTTGTGGGAGGAGAACATGTAAATATATTAATTTAGCACTCGCAAAGTGATTTATCAAACCTGAACGCAATTTTGCTAACGGTATCTGACTCTATATTTAACACGTTTCAAAAGAAGGTGCAAATGGTCTGTATGCGTAATTGCGCACACATGGCAGCGGTTATTGTCGCAAGAAGGAGACATGGAAATAAAGCAAGGAGACGCAGAGAACGCATTTTTTCACTCCGTGTGAATATTTTTGCAATGAACGAGGAAACGATCATCAAAACATATCGTTTATCCAGCATTGCCATTTTGGAGCTGTTGGGGGAACTCCGAATGGATTTGGAGCCAGCCACAAGGAGGACCCACGCAATACCAGATATCACAAAACTCCTTGCAACATTGCACTTTTTTGCATCTGGGTCATTCCAGCGTACGGTTGCAGCGAGAGCTGGGATCTCCCAATCTCGTTTTTTCAGAAGTGCTGTCCGACGGGGTCGGGGTTCTCCCCCTGCGCCTGTGGAGCAACGTACCAAATGCTGCGGGGATCTCATCCACAGTCACAGGCAAATACAAAACACCTGTTTTTTTTTTGTTTTTTTTACTGCAGCACATACCACCTTAGGGAATAAAGGTTGCCAATTTATATATATATATATATATATATATATATATATATATATATATATATATATATATATATATATATATATTTACTTATTTATTTTTTTTGTTGGGGGTCACTGTAAGATTTAAATTTCTTAATGCACTAGTTTGTACAGACTACAAACTACTTTGCCGCAAACCACAAAACGCGCAAAACCATCATTTAAATAGGGCGTCTCCAACAGTTTTGCACCTTCCACCAGTTACGCAATCGCTCTTGTTAAATCACCCGCAAACCATGGTTCAGCCCCTCGCGCAAAATTCCAGTTTGCGAGCGCAAATTACTGCACGCAAAATTGGATCTTGATAAATCCGGCCCCAGGTGTGCAATCTCTGCAACAGTAAACAACAGCACTGAGCGTTGTGTGCACTGCACAAAGTATACCTGTCACAAATGCAGGAAGGACTCACCTTTGGTTTGTGGAAACCGCTAAATGGGACTATTGTAGCTTCATATCTAGTGCTTTTGCTTGGTTAAAATAATGTTACTCCAGTACTGAAATCATACTGTTTGTCATTCTCTGAGCTGAAATGCTGAATGACGTGAAAAGGCGAGACAAGACAAAATACAATTATTCTCTACGTTGTTATTTCACATAGTGAGCTTTGCAATATAAATGGGTGTGTTGGTGAATGGACAATATAAATAGGCTCTGCCTTGCCTTGTTGGAAAAGCATAGTTATGACCTGCTCTCAGCTCTGGAACTAGGACCCGTATGATATCTGGTTGTTCAATAGGTTTGCCTAAATAAAAGATTTAGATATGACATCAATATATTCCTGCAAAAAGGTCTGATGTTGCAGGGGCAGGTAATGAAAAGTGCTGGGAAAAAATGCTCTTGTTCTAATGCCAGTTTGTTTCAGCCTTTATCCAGTGTCATGTAGAAGGGCTGGTCATATCGCAGCTCATTTGCATTAGAACAAGGACAGTTAGCAAGGTAGAGTGAATACACAAACTTGAAGAGGGGAGGGAAGCTTGCAGGAAAACTGACATTCTCTGGGACTTCTAATGCTAAGCACCTGATCTCTGTAAAACACAAATACTGAACACTACATCATATTATCTGAAAGATCCTTCCATTAAGTGCACATACATGTTAGTGCCAGGTCTTGATAGAGAATAGAACAATGGCTATTTTCTTGTCTTGTCAAATGTCACTATATTGATAAGGCTTGGAATGTTTTCACCTTTGATTAACAGAGCAGCATTCTAGGTGTTTGTATATATATATATATATATACACACACACACACACATATATATATAATTTTTCATTATGAATTTTGCTAATTTTTTAAGTGTGTTTCAGGGAAAGTCACACTATAATTCCAACCTGTCAAATATAGACCGATTACATAAAACTTCAATGTTAACCTGTGATTTCTTAGTCAGATTGTCCTGCCTGCCACTGCCTAGTTGGTTTTAGTTATCATGAAACTCCTATAGAATAAGAAACTATGATGTGTTCTTTTGCCAAATACATTTATAGATGCAGAAAAATTTACTTGCACATTAAACCTTAAAAGAGGTTCCTTGGTAATGTTAACTCAAATGTTCAAAGGGACGGCCCTTAAACTTGAGTCTGAGAAGCTGGACATTCAGCCCCCGAAAGACCCTCTGCTGCAGCTGGTCTCCCTACAGAAGGCATCCGGCTTCTGGCAGCTTGATGCAGATCTGGCCGCTGTGTTTGGAAAGACCAAAGAGGAGGTGGAGAAGTCAAAGCCAAAATCGGTGGGTCACTCTCAAAATAAGAAAAAATAAATTGTACATAATAATTTCCCCACATTAATACATTTAAGAGTTACATTAAAGAGTTTGAGTGCAAGAAATGAACATTTGTAGTTTAGGGGACATGGGTTTGGGTCAATCTCCAGTGGTGTTGGGAAGAGGCAGAGAAAATGGATAGTTGGATCCAGGACCCTGTTGCTGTAGAAGACAAACTAATCACCATGTTTCATGTTTAAGCTTGGGCTCAGAATAAAGATGGAACACATCAAACATGCTAAGCAATAGTTACTTAGTTTCCACCAAACCTCACCAAGTCAGTTAAATAGCTCAACATGGTGTCTCATTAAAGAAAGCAGTATTATGACATCTTTTCTTTATCCTGTTTTGACTGTCCCTGTGAATTAGGTCAACAATGAGGTGTGGGCCTCCATTCTGGCTCTCATATGGCTTCATGGGTTCAAGATGGATGCCAAAGAGGAGTGGGAGCTTCTCACAATGAAGACTGCTTCATGGATCAAGGCTCAGAATGGTAATACAGATAATCAGCAGGAAATGGTGGGTTAGGGTTTGGGTTAAAAAAAACTGTCTGGGAAGAGAAGGATTAAGTCAGCAACAAATTTTGCAAGTTCTCCTACTTAGAAAGATGAGAGAGGACTGCAATTTTTTATCATAGATACACTTAAACTGTGGGGGGAATAAAATGTAATGAAACATTCAGGAAATCACATCCATATTAGGATTTTTAAAGATTTTTAATTTTAATTATAAACAAAAGTAAGTATGGGATCAACCACAGACGAGCACGATGTGTGGCCTTCATAGACCTGTAACATGACAATGATCACAGACTGCTAGTCTGTGCAATGAAGGGCTAGCTCTGTATAAAACATTTCAAGGTTCTTTAGTGGACTTGCCAATCTTCTGACCACAACACCATTAAAACTTGGGGGAGGTGAAAGTCCATGTTTCCCAGTAACAACCCCAAAACATCAGTGCTCTAGAGGAGATTTGCATGGATGAATAGGCACAAATATCTGTTACATGTCTGCAAACCAGGTGAACCTTTGTCATTGCCAACAAGGGTTCTGCTACAAAGTATTGGGTTGAAACTTGCTAAGGACTAAGGACTTTAAAATCCTACAATTTGATTTCGTGTATTAAATTGTAGTTAAAGTGTACCTATGATTAAAAGTACAGACCTTGCTCATCTTTCTAAATCAGAGATCTTGCACAATCAGTGGCTGTCTAAATACTTTTTTGCCACACAGTAAGTTACGGTGTGTGGCTATGTCTCAGTAATTCTATTTTCTATTTTTTTTTCTTCAGCTCCATGTGTACCAGAGTGTGTTGAAGCCGGTAATACATTGTTGGGTTGCAGCGTGAAGAAAGAAGTCCTTGGGCTTTGAGGTTTTCCAAACAGGCTTTAGCTTTACTATGATTATAAGCCCTGACAGGAACACTTAGACAGGAAAACAGGAAGATTGAAGAGATGTGTCCTAATAAAATTCTATAAATATCTTACTGCGTTTATTAGGTGTTTAATATACAGCGGACAACTAATAAAATTATCTCACATTTTTATGGAACTGTATCGCATAAACTGTCTCAATCATACTGTATCTCATTCTAACTTTATTTTAAACGGCTTACTGAGTAGTAAAGTAATTAAAGATGAAACGGGCTCAGTTGTATAAATGATGTTCCTTGTTAAACAAATGGATCCTTTTCCTCTACACAGTATTGATAGCTTAAGGTAGACCATATTATAAAGTATTTAAACTGTATGATATATTCTGTATAATATTGTGTCTGGTTTTCTTATTCCGTATAAATGAAGGAAGAAAACAGCACACTTAAATACCGCTTCACAGCAAAAAGGTCAGAGAGACTTCCTTGTAAATCTACTCCTACAGAAAGCACAGATAGTGGGCTGTGACAGACCGGGCTTTGTGTTAAAGGGAAGTGAGGACAATTAATAGTCCTTCTAGACTAAATTCAAATGGCTATTTTTAAAGCCACCTAAAGACCTCTTGAGAGCATTCCTTATTTCTAACTTTTTTAAAACATTTTATCTGTATTCCATTTAAAGCAAAAAAAGCATTGCCTACAACCAATCCCTGATTGGCTGCCATGTTGCGATTTCATAGAAAAGTCCAGCTCGTTTAAACTTGAGCGATCACGGCTCAAACTCTCTCCATGCGGTGCTGTTGCTTAGCAACAACTCAGCTCTTTCTCACTGCATGAAAAGTGGGATTTTCGTCAATATACGGCACTGTAGATTGTCGTGGAACTTCAGGTTAGCGGCAGTTTACGGCAATTTGCAACCTTCGCCGAAAACTCCCGTAAATTGTCAGAAATTGACGTGGAATTTCTTAGGCAGTGTTCCCCCCATGCCTCCCCCCCATGGAATTCTAGGGGAGGCTTTAACATGTTAATGAACATGCTGTGAGCTATACAAATGCAAACCAGGGTTGCAGGGGGGGTAAAACCCCCCCTGCAACCCTGGGTAAGAAAATCTCTGATACAAAGAGATCAGGTATAGCCTCTTACATTTTAGCTTGAATTGATTTATTTAATTAAAGTATAGAGACCAAAACAGATCTTTAGCTGACAGAGCAATACATTTAGAGCAGTAATTATTTTTTTTTTAAATTTGCATTTAAGATAAAAAATAAAATGTTGTCTGTCAATATGCTCAATTCACAATTACTTAAGTGGAAAAGTTTCAAGAAATGATTCTGAGATGATTCACTTTATAACATGGCGCAATATCCTGTTGGAAGAAGCCATCAGAAGATTGGTACACTGTGGTCATAAGGACATAGGTCAGCATGCTAAATTGGTTTTAAGTGGCCCAAAGTGTGGCAATAAATATCCCCCAAATAGATGGTAGAAATAGATCAGGCTCAGTATAGCCTAATTATAGACTCTTACATTTTAGCTTGAATTGATTTATTTAATTAAAGTACGCTAGATTACTGTGTATGCAAATGTTATGTAAAAAAAATACACAAAATAATTTACTTCAAAAATTAGTTTTAATCAGAATCAGTTGGCTGTAATGGTTAATTTTTTTTTTTTAGATTTCCACTTTTTTTTTTTTTTTTGTTATTGAATATATAAGAAAACAATAACAATCTCAAATAACAAGTAAATAACAAATATTTCAATACAAGAAGAAATATCACAACTCCTGCTTTTGAAAAATAAAATTAAATGCACAGGCTGGAACAAAGTATAAAATAAAATAAAATAAATAAAAATAAATAAAATAATAATAGTAGTTAAAGTAAATTATTCAGTGGGGACTACCAACTGAAATTCTTCAATTAACTCAAACAATTTAATTGCATTTAAATTCTGCATCTTTCTCAGACATCTTTTGAAAAGGGAAAGTTCATTTTTGAGAGCAGAGATTGAGAGGGAGCATTTTGCATAGCGACATTTATGGATATAATACTTTGTTACAATTATTAGAATATTGATTAAAAATTCCAAATTTTTTTTCTTTAATGGATAAACCGAATTGAATGTTTTGCCAGGAAATAAAATCTAAATTTATTGTTTTAGAAGACAGAAAGGTTCGAAGTTGATCCCATAAGTTTAATACTTCTTTACATTCATAAAAAAGATGTTTAGTTGTTTCCAATTGAGTTGTACAAAAGCCACAATTCTCAACATTAAACTTAAATCTCTCTCTTAAAAACTCATTTGAAGGATATATGTTATTTATTATTTTAAATTGTAATTCTTTATATTTAGGAGGAATTGGGAATTTCAAATAATTTGTCCTAATTTTGACTATCATAGATTTCTTAAAATTTTGTAAGAGAGCTGTGCTTTTTGTTCTTCCTGGGTACATATTATTTATAGAATATTGATTCAAAAACTTGTTGTTGCATTTATTATCTCTAATGTCCACCTGCTCAAATTCAATCTTATGGAGACAAACAATTGCAATTGCAAACAATTTATAGGTGCATTACCGCCACCTTCCAGAATGGAGCGACGCGAGCTCTTCTCGCGAGTCCTTCCGTATAACAATGACGTCGTATGTGATTGGAGGAGCCTGATGAGCCTTCGGCCCCATCGTCCAATCACGTGTGAGCTTTTGTGCACTACGACTTCTCGCGAGACCAGCATATTAGCAGACATGTTTGTGTTACTACACTTAGAAGAACTTAATCTCCAGTTACCGTGTTTGTATTTTGTTGTTACGTGAACAATGGCTGCACGACGTCTCGCGTTCAACTCGCCTCCAACTGCTCTTAGTCCACAACTTTCGGCCAGCCCGCAGACTGACGAGAAGAAACTGCTGATTGCTATCAGCGGACTGTCTCGTCAGCTTGCCCAACGACTGCCGACATGAATGAGCGCTGGAGAATTCGATGCACTCCAGGTTGTAGTCCATAGAGGACAAGATGGCGGCTCGGCAGTCGAGCAACTTTGCGGGATATACGAACTCGAGGAAGAGAAGACGGGTGCACAACGCCACGCTAGCGGTAAATATAAGTTCGATTACTGGTAGCTATGCTAAAAGCAGCCTAGCTTAGCTAGGCAAGCTAAAGGCAACCTAGCCTAGCTAGGTAAGCTAAAAGCAGCCTAGCCTAAAGCTTTATTAAAGTGTATTTTTTGTGATTCACAGGAATCAGTATGCCGTCTTAACAACTCGGAGACTAATTGCAGGCGCTATTAACCGGAGCAGGGGTAAGGTTTAAAGAATATGCTTTCATTCTGCGGTAAAAGGACATGGATACCGACCATAGCTGTACAGTCGCCTCACAATGAGGCGTTGACCTCCTATTTGCTCGGATTTGCACGATGTTGATAAAGACGACATTGTGTGTAAGTGACTTGTTTTAATGTTTTCTCCTTCCTTGTTACTGTGACTTGCGTTTGATTTTATTTTTTTTTATTCATACCTCTCATTTGTTTTCCAGCTGCCTGTAAGACGTATTATGAGACGGTATGCAGGAGCTTCAGATACACGCTGCTAGCCAGCACGCTGCGTGCGGAGGCTGCCAGGCTATCTGCTCGGAGTCGGGACAGAAGAAAGATGGTAAGACTTTATTTGGTGACTATTTTTCAGGTGCATTGATAGATGTGTTGTGTCCGTATGCAGTGCGCTGATTCATTGTTTTTTTTTTTTCAGCTGCTGAAGGCGAGGCAGAGTGTGTTGGCAGATGAGGAAGTGGAACTCTGGAAGTCCGCCGTCGTCGGCGGTGTCTCTGGATGGATTGTACGGTCGCCGCCATTTCGTAGGCCGGATCTCACTGAACTCTGTGTTAAGCTGCAGTCCCGGTTAGAAGCGATGCCGAAGTACAGGGCCATGCACAGTATGCGTCTGCACATCGGACCTGCCTCGGAGGGAATGCTGCCTGTTACCTCCAACCCCGATGAAGCAAACGGACCGTTCACTGAGTTTTAATTTTTAGATACGCATGTGTTTGGATACGCGTTGTATATAGTTGTGTGTGTTTTAATAAAGCTCTTTCTTTGCATAAACAGCTTCCTGGCAAATGTTCATTTCCTGTATAAATTCATTCATGTCCTTGATGGTAGCATAATAATTGTGTAGTAGTGTAGGATAACATAAATACACAGCATATGAATGAATAAATATATGAATGAATAAATATATGAATATATATATATATGAATGAATAAATATATATATGAATAAATATATATATGTAAATATATATATATGCCAACCAATCACGAGCGACTTTACTTGTTTAAAAAGAAGTGGTTCCGTCCAATACTCAGTAAGAAAATTAAAGCCTGGCGTGGCCACGTGTGGTTTTGCTGCCAATCACGAGCGATTTCACTTGTTTGAGAATAGTGGTTTCAGCCAATACTGAGAAGGTTATTCAAGCCAGACCTGGCCAGCCGCGCGGGTTTGCTGCATTCATATGCTAATTAGGGCCATTAGTACAGCTGATCGCTCTCCACATACGTCAGAGTCCGTTTCCGACAATTTGTGGCACGACAAACGCGGACAAGCACGGGTTGCAAATTGTCGGAAACTGACGAAAATCAGGCAGATCTGCGGGAGTTTACGGGGGTTTACGGGGACGAAAATCTCACTTTTCATGCAGTGTCTGTTAGCATGAAAGTGGAAGCAGAGCGGTCACTGCTCTAACCACATGTAGTTCACCGCTGGACGTTTCATCGCCCTTCCCCGAGCAGTATGTATAGGAATTCTATGTGAATCCACTGCACTCGCCCTTGGCTCTGCCTCCCCACTGACATTGTCTCTGAAAAGGGTCCCCAGTTTGTCTCCCGATTCTGGAGGGAGTTTTGTGCTTTGTTAGGGGTCAGCCTCCTGTCAGGTTTACACCCCCAAATAGATGGTCAGAAAGAGAGGGCCAACCAGGAGATCCAGACTAAGATCCACATCCTCTGTGAGGCTGATCCCTCCAAGTGAGCCAGTCAACTTCACTGGGTCGAGCATGCCATCAAATCTGCTCCTTTTAGCACCACTGGTTTTCAGCCACCGGTTTCACCATACAGGAGTCCAGGGTTCTTCTGTCATAATTCTGGTGCTGATGGTTGATTTTTTTGTTCCGTTTCCCCCTACTGTTGAAGCGCTGTTGAACCTGCAGTTGAACCACTCGCATTGCTTTGAGGGCGGTAAGGAGTTGTGTGGGTCTTGTCGATATTATAAATTTTAATGAGCTGCTGGACA